ACACACACACACACACACACACACACACACACACACACACACAGGCTGTCAACAGGACTGTCAACTAAATGAAAACAATTTTCACAGAACTATCCGAATTCTGAAGACACTGTTTATTAAATAATAAGTGTTTATTTTATAATAAATGTGAATGGGTGCCGTCAGAATGAGAGTCCAAACAGCTGATAAAAACATCACAATAATCCACAAGTAATCCACAGCACTCCAGTCCATCAGTGAACATCTGGAGAAGACACAAGCTGTGACCTGAGGGTGAGGACACATTGCTGAGCAAGTGATGCAATGCTACATTTCTCCAAATCTGATGAAGAAACAAACTCATCCTAATCTCGGATGGTTTGAGGATGAGCACATTTGCAGAAAAAAAATTATTTTGGGGTGATCAAAATGCTGTAATAAATGATTACTTGAATAAGCTTCACAACAGCACAACACACAAAACACACTCAAATTCTCAATCAGCCCTATACACACCGCAGGATGAGGACGGACAGAGAGGAAGAGGAAAGGCAGGAACACTATTAACTCTCCAGAGACGAGCGACTGTAAGCCGTCATGCACAATATGCCACTCGATAATGAGCAGCTCATAACCCCCATAATGCCCAGCAACATCCAACAGCACTGAAGCCTTTGTGTGTGTGTGTGTGTGTGTGTGTGTGTGTGTGTGTGTGTGTGTGTGTGTGTGTGTGTGTGTCTCTCACACACACACACACACACACACACACTGGATGGGTACAGAGGGAAATGGGTCAGCAGTGAGATGAAGAGAGATATAGCACCAGTGCCGCCCATCTGTGCGCCTGCTGCCTCCTAACCTCCATCAGTGTGTGTGTGTGTGTGTGTGTGTGTGTGTGTGTGTGTGTTGGTATGTCCTGACTACACCTCTTTGAGAAACAGGAGTGATCCAGTACACAACGCCCCAGGATACAACACACACACACACACACACACACACACACAGGTCACTATTACTGCATTACCTCTGGCTTCTCAAAATGTCATGTGTGAATGGACAGTCCACAGGATTTCAGTCAAAAGACCACGGCTGCGTTTCCCAAAAGCATCATAAGTAGATCACAGATCTACTGCTACAATCAACTTGTCTCATGATGCTTTTGAGAAACACAGCCCAGTGCGTTTTCTAATCAGATAATAAAAAACACAGATTTAGCCTGTCAACATATGTGTGTGCGTGTGTGTGTATATATATATATATATATATTACAGTATATACAACCCTAAAAAAACAGTTCACTCCAAATTCTTTAGTGAGTAATTCTGGGTTTGTGTGGAGTGATTGCTAAAAGAGACTAAATATGGTATTTACAACTAAATCTGTCAACAACAACAAATCTAAAGTGACTTTTAATACAGGTTCCTTATTTCAGTTATTCTAAAATAGCGTGTCTTAATTAAATGTACTAATAAGCGCCACCACTGAAATTACTTTGTATAATAATGTCTTACATGAATTCATCTCTTTAACTCAACCCTTAAAGGAACTGACAGATTTTTCATGGGCCACACGAACACGTCTGTCACTCCACAGGACCATTCAGAAAACCTTTTATAGTGCAAAAATGAAAATGAAACACTTTAAATGTCCAGATCCTAGAAAACACACTTTCCCTTATACTTTAATTTAAATGAATTCCAGTCAAATCTTCACATTCACGTCCAATTATTACAACTGCCACTGGGTCCAACTAGAGTCAGTGTCAGTGAGACACACACTTATATCAGCGGGTCATTTCCTACACTTTCCTAGCATTTTCAAGTAGACAACAGTGTCTCAAAGTGAGGAATTCATCTGTGGTCAAACACTCATGTGTGTGTAAATGTCAGAGAGAGTGTGTGTTCACACCGAGCCAGGACCAACATGACTGTTACTATGCCAACAGATCAGCAGCGTCAGACCGGCGTGAAAACACACTTTCTTCTTAAGAAACAGCTCTAAGAAGGATAGTTCAATGTGAGCTCGAGAGCTAAATCACTCCCAACATTTAAGCAGTAAGGTTCTAGAAGTCATGCTATATCGTGAATATATACATATATACAATATATATAGCAGATAAAGAGTGCTGCTGCAAATTTTACAAAGAATTTTACTAATAGTTTGAAAACTGCTGAACAAGTGCTTCACTTCACATTTTACAGTGTGCCAGAATTAAACACCACAAGATCTCACCACATTTTCTGTAGAAAACCGAGCGGCGTTTGCCTGTGCAAACACAAGGGCATCGTGGGAGGCTGCAGGAGCAGGGCTGTGGCGTCTTTTGAGGTCACTAGAGTTGTGTGTGGTTGCTAGGGAGTTGCTAGGGAATTCTGGGTGTTTGCTGAAAGGAATAGTTCACCCAGAAATGAAAACGACTCAGGCCATCAAAGAAACAAATCCATCATTAAGGCATTTTAACTTCAACATTTTAACCTTAACAATTAAACCGTTACTTCTGGTTTAATAATCCATAATAACTCTTCCTCCAGTGAAAAAGTGCATCTCTCACATCAAAATCCAGCCACATATGTGTTTAGAGCTGTTTAAACGCTGCTTGATCTGTGCAGGTTTCTCTCCTGATTCACACCAGAACACTTTTTCACTGGAGGAAGCCTTATTATGGATTATGGACTGGTATTTTAGTTAAAAGCGTCTTAATGCTGGATTATTGTGATGTTTTTATCAGCTGTTTGGCTCTCATTCTGACGGCACCCATTCACTGCAGAGCATCCATTGCTGAGACGCTGATGCAATGCTGCATTTCTCCAGATCTGATGAAGAAACAAACTCATCCTAATCTTGGACATCTCTATTTCTTTAAGTCAGAAGATCCTCAAGTCTCTGTGATATTCTGGGCCAGTATAAGAAACCGCTTCAATTGAGAGTTTTCTTAACTCACAGGTTTCCTGCCATTTGCACTTGCTCTGGGTCTTCCTTCAAAACTGTTTAGCTCCGTAATTGAAAACAAAAATATGAGCCTGATCAGACTTTTAGCACACCTCTACTAAGCAAACTGCACAGTTTGAGGTATTATTAGCTCATATCATGTCTGAAGCACGAACAGGACGAGTTGTTAATAGGGTTACAGGATTGTTCCAATCACAAGAGTAAGCAATAGTAATACCAGTACATCATTTACATTACTAAATACGGAATCAAGCATTATTACATTACAACTGAAGACAGTATGAGCATTGCATTGTGTATGACTCTAAAAAAAAAATTAAGAAAGATGCCATAACTTACTTAAAAAGCTGAGAAGAGTAAAAATCCTCTTGTATGAAGCAGCATAACATCAAGTCTCCTAATAAAACATGAAAGCGGAGCATGTATATTTCAACAGGCTTGAGCGCTCGCACTCCACATTCAACAGAGCGACACACAGCAGATATTACAGCTCAATACTGTCTGCTGGCCATCACGACAGAAACGCACCAGCAGCACAGAAACGTTACAGAGACTGCAGAAAATAAGCAGCACTCACCAGCTGAGTTCTCCACGCTCACACACACTCTGAGTCCATGCGCACAATAGCACTGAGACCGGCACCCATCCGCGGACACTAGCGCTCCCCTCCTCCTCCTCCAGCACCGCTCCTCCCCCTCTATCTGCCCCAGAATCCCCTCCATCTGAACAATACACACCCCCACCCCACACCAACCCATAATAATGCCACCGAGACGTCTCCATGGCAACTAATGACAGCGGGAGGGAGGAAGAGAGAATGGAAAAATCAGTCAGGAAGGACGAGTGAAGCGGACAGAGACAGTCGAGCGACAGACAGCTCAATAACTGGCTCTATGGAGGTTATCAGCGTTCAGTGACAAATGTGTGGCCGGTTTCTCCTGATCTTTGATCAACAGGCTTCAAATGTTGAATAAAAACTGCAGGTAGTAGATGAGGTGAAGCAGATTCTTCAACAAGTGCCTAGACATTCAAGTCTCTTCTGATCACCAAAGCTGCATTTATTTAATCAAAAATATAGTAAAAACTGAGAAATATTGTTACAATTTAAAACAACTATTTTCTATGTGAATATCTGTTAAAGTGTCATTTATTCCTGTGATGCGCAGCTGTATTTTCAGCATCATTACTCCAGTCTTCAGTGTCACATGATCTTCAGAAATCATTCTAATATGCTGATTTGCTGCTCAAGAAACATTTCTGATTATCATCAATGCTGAAAACAGTTGTGCTGCTGAATATTTTTGTGGAAACCGTGACACATTTTATTTTTCAGGATTTACAGATGAATAGAAAGTTCAAAACAACAGTACTTACTTGAAATAGAAATGTTTTGAAACATTATATATGTCTTTACTGGCACTTTTGATCAATTTAATGTGTTCTTACTGTATAGAAGCATTCATTTCTTTCAGTAAAAAATTTAATTTGTAATACAATGCTTAAAAACATCCCAGGATGCTCCTCATTAAACGGGATGAGAGAAAGTTTAGAGTGAGTAGAGCTGAAATCACATATAAGAGTTTGCTTTTGTTTTACTATGTTTTGAAGTGAGAAGCAATTGTAACACTTCTGTAACGGGGTAGTTCTTTCTCTGATGGACCAGGCAGTTAACCTCAGAAGAACACGACACGTGATGGGAGGCGGCGGTGGTGCTGAGTAAATATCGGTACTCGGTAATCGGTAGGTGAACCACAATTTCAATTTTACTGTGAATGGTTTAGGGTTTGTTTTCTTTTTTTCTTCCGTAAGTACCCTTTTTTCAAAACATAAAACAACAATAACAATAAAACACAGGAAAGCACAATAACTATACCCTTGGGTGCACCTGCTAATTAACTATACATTACACAATAACTCACCTTCACAATCAATCAAATTAAATGAACCCAGTTAGTGATAACTGACAGGTAACCGCAGTATGCAACTGGTATGCAAATTAGTCTTTCAAAGTCAGATGTCAATCTGACTAAAAGGTTTGATCAGTCTTTTCCTTTAAACTGGAACTAATGTCTCTCAGATTTTAAGTTCCCATGGAGAAAAATAGTATCAGTCACTGGAAGCAAAATTCTCTTACTTGGTTGAAGAAAATTATAATGAAAAACTGTCCTTTATTCCAGGTCCGTGATCCTTTCAGTCAAGGTGGGAGGCTCGCCATCAATTACAGAAATCCACATTGAAGTTCATCCTCACAAGGAAAAAAAACCCGGCCTGTACGTTCAAAGACCAGTACACACTTAATTGTGTGCATCAAGAATGATTTTCAACAAAATACAGAACACATGAACCAAATAACATACATGAATATCATTTATGCAACTTGTATCAAAATAACGAATTACCTGTCCATTCTTGTCTGTTTTCACAGGTACACGCAATCAAAATGGCGTCAACGAACCGCAGTGACACGCACAGAACATGCAGCCTGACACAATCACACTGCAAACGAACAATTCACTCCATATAACATCACAATATAACACTGTTTAGTCTTATATGCATAAAACAAATAAAACTCTTATATACGATCTGTTTTCATTCATTTTTAACACTGATCTTATCAGTTCACAACTCACCAACTCCACACGCAAATTTTGTGGTGCAGGAGTGTTATGACCTTAAGATAGTCTATGCATCTATGAACTCTTTTTTTGTATGTATTTGATCTCTCTGCTCGTGTGTGTAGACATGTTTGTGTTCCAGATGGGTGTGGCCTCTGCAAACCAGCTGGAGATGGTGATTGGTCCTACTATGCACCCTACCCAGATAGATAAGGACTGCCCCAAACACTCGTCTTCTGCCTTTGAGCCTCGTTGACTTCGTACCATCGTGCTTCGCTAGCCTTCTGATTGAATGTTATTTATGCATTATTTTATTTATTTGTAAGACTTTTTTATGACTAAATTTGGTAATGGGAGAGTAAAAATATTTTTAAAACGTACACCGTTCAAACTAGGCTGCTTATGTTGAAGTGTTTGGGATGTGGCTTTTAATGATGAGACCTTTTTTGTAATCAGGCTCTCAAAAAGTATATAACAATTTGGATATAGATTTATCGGCCAACATATCGGTTATCGGCTTTCAAAAATAAAGAATAATCGGTTATCGTATCGGCCAAAATTTTCATATCGGTGCATCCCTAGTTTTCTGCTATTGTTTGTATCGCCGTCGTCGTTTGGTTGTGAAAGAGTTTCGTACCGGAGAGAGATATTCTGAGTGGATTGAATCTGTTGAGTGTTTGTTATTGTAAGTTCAAATTCTGAATCTCCTGTTTATCTGAACATTGCCTGTCTTGACTACGATTTGGATTCTGATTCTGCTTTGTGTACGCCCTGAAACTTCGTAAATAACTTTGTAAATACTAGTTTGCCAAATTAAGGGATGTAGGGGATTAGACACCATTTCATTCATATGTATCTTGATGATAGGCTATAGGCTAACCCCTAGAGGTTGTAAGAGAAATAGGGGGCTCGTCTCAAAAAATTTTTTTTTTAATTTTTCTTCCCCCAAGACTAATTGGAGTTGTATCATCGTGTGAGGGAGACATTGAGAAACTCATGAAATTGGCTTGGTGTTTGTTTGATTGCCTGGTGGTTTTCATTTTAAGGCGGCGGGAATTAGGAATGGCTTCAAAATTTGAATTAGATAAGTTTGCGATCGAACCTTCAGTATATCAGTTGGATATTTGCCACAAAGATGATTTGTTAGTGATCGCGGATTTATATCAAACAGGTTTCTCGAGGTGCTAGGAAACAGGACATTAAGGAAGTGATTTACAAGCATTTGGTTGAACGTCGGGTTTTGTCTGAAGAAGGTGAGGGGGAGGCGGGTGTTGCAGCTCAAGTGTCGGCTTCCGTAGGTGAGGGGACAGAACCCAAACCCACGGAGTTGACTAGCATAGATCCCGCAAACCTTCCTTCTCCTAGTAATCCTTTGCTGGCGATCAGATTGAAAGAACTGGAGTTGGAGTTGAGCAAACAGCAATATCAGAGCCAACTGTTACATGTGCGCGCAGTTGATCTTGAAACCCAGCGAGCCATCAGGCTCAAGGAGCTGGACTTGGAGCTAAAAACGAAACAACCTGTTCATCCCTCAGCTGCTGATGCGCCCAGAATGAGTGTGCATGTATTACCACCCGTAAATGCTTCCACTCCGAGCCCTATTCCTGCACCGCGACGTGCTTTACAAGTAAGTGAGCCTGAATTTGATTTCAGTAGACAAATTGCATTAGTTCCACTGTTTCGTGAGAGTGAAGTTGATATGTATTTTACTGTATTTGAACGCATCGCGGCCACTTTGAAATGGCCGCTGAGTATTTGGCCGCTCCTGTTACAATGTAAACTCGTCAGGAAAGCACAGGAAGTCTGTTCCGCTTTAACGCTTGAACAGAGCCTGGATTATGGGGTAATGAAAAATGCCATATTGCGCGCTTACGAGTTGGCTCCCGAGGCATACCGACAGAAATTCCGAAATCATGTGAAAGCCCCTAGTCAAACATTCGTTGAATTCGCAAGAGACAAGGCCAATTTGTTTGAGAAGTGGTGCACTGCCATAAAAGTTGACACGTTTGAGCAGTTAAAAGGGTTAATATTGTCGGAAGAGTTTAAGAATGGTCTACCTGAGAAAATCGTGATCTACTTGAATGAACAGAAAGTTTCTTCCCTTTCTGAAGCCGCTGTTTTTCCGGATGAGTTTGTGCTTACTCAGTGTTTCCATCGCCCACCAAGCGTAGTATTTCTGATCGTGTCCGTAATTCTAAAGATTCCCAGACAGTACCTAAGCATGCTTCAAGTGCTTTAAATGTGGAGAATTGTGAATGTTTTTACTGTCATGAGGTGGGACACCTCATCGCTACCTGTCCCGCTCTGAAACGCAAAGCAGGCAAGAAAACAAACACTTATAAAAGCGCTGAATTAGTTAAGCATCCCATTTTCTTTCCCGAGCCAGCAGTTCTGGATACAACCGCTGAATCTGTGTTTAAGCCATTTATTTTTGACGTTGTGTCGTTTAGTGAAACAGACCACGACACAAAAAGTGTTTGCATCCTTCGTGATACTGGCGCCTCTCAGTCCATAATCTTAGAGAGTGTGCTGCCATTTTCGGAACAGTCAAGCTCTGGTTCCAGCATACTAGTGCAAGGCATTGATCTCTCTGTAGTTAAAGTTCCTTTACACAATGTCTATTTGCATTCTGGAATTATTTACGGTAAAGTTAAATTGTCAGTGCGGGCTGAGTTACCTGTTAAAGGTGTAGTGCTCATACTAGGAAATGACCTGGCAGGTAACGAAGTTTTTTGTTTACCTGAGGTTATAGATGTTCCTGAGATACATGATGTTTCCTAATGTGTTCAGCACATGTGTGGTGACCCGAGCTCAAGCTCAAAAACTAAAAGACACTGTAAATCTGTCAAAAACCTTTTTGTGTGATGACAATTCTGCTAAGACAGAGGGAATAGTTGATTCAGTTGAAGTAAAAATCTGTGCACTTCCTAGTGTTGATTTGCCATTTGGAAAAACCATGTTAATTGAGGCACAACTTGCCGATCAAACTCTGTGTTCCTGTGTTGCAGCTGCTGTCGAGCCGAACGTTTTGCCAGAGTATCCAGTCGCCTA